TCTACTCTTCTCTAAAGTGTCTGAGCAGAATATATTGAGCTTTAAAGAGATTCCATCTATTGAAAACTGCAGTTTCTGAAAGCAATTTATATATTCTTAATAGCTTTGCAACCTATATCCCAGAGGAGCCTGATGCCATAACCTTAGTATTATTGAACAATGGTGTACACAGTGTCTTTGTTTTAAAAGCAAGATTAAAAACAAAACAAAACAAAACATCATATACTTCCTCAGAAAGTTTATAATTTAAACTTGGGTTCAGCTCAGTGCAATACAACAGAGAGCAGGCAAAGAGTGCCAAGTGAACGTCACAGTTATGATATCTTGGGGGATGCGCAAAATTTTAGGAGCACTTTAGAGGAAAAACAGCTACAGACTTTATTCAGTAGCCTCAGACCAATAACATAGGGCCGTCTAGGAAATTGCTGGTGATATAGCACATGCTGCACATGCTAAGCTATGAATTGATTCAGTTATAAAAACCCTGCCAACTTGAAAAAAAAGACAAAAGGACAGATTTGATGAAGAAAAATAATATATTATTTGACTAAAATTTCCAGTTGTGTGTATGCATATAAACGAAACTCGTAGCATGGTCAGATAGCCTGAATTTAGGGACTGTTCTGGAAGAAAATGAGCAATATTTATTGTATATGCAATTTATATAATTTAACCCTCACAATTTCTATGTAAAATCAGTGAAGTGGGTCTTAATTTACAGATGATGAAACTGAGGATTAAAGAGATTTAATAGCTGTTTTCAAGGGCCCACATTAATTAGTAGTGGAGCTGGGTTCAAGTACTTAGAGTTGTGAGAAGTCAAAATAACCTGCACAATGTGCTTAGAATAGAAAGATCCTTAGCACACAGTAAGCCCTATAGGAACACTACTTGTTACTACTGCATATCACTATTGTTACATGGCTTAATTAAAGGAGGTTGTCTTTTTTTCCCCTTTTGTTTAGTGCACACATAAAACACAGCCACCTTATAGGAGTTTTCTCTCTCTCTGTCTCAGCAACTTCTATATTGAGGTTTAGATAAAGCCTCTGCTGTGCAGAAGTTATTGATTATTTGATGTTTTCTGTGTCACAGCATCTGGACATTCCCCTTGGCCTGTAGCTCTATTCTATTTAAACATCTCATACCCACCTCTGACCAGCAGAGACAGTAGAAAATAACTGAGTTGTAGGTATTCTGAAAGTTTCATTAAGAACTTGTCAAATAAAAAAAAAAAAAGAAGAAATAACTTGTCAAATAGCAACTCGCTTTGCCATTTTCACTTAAAAAGCTCTCAGACTTGTTATTTGAATGAGTGTTCAGTTAAAGAGGAGCTTAATGGTAGAATCAGGATGGGGGAAAGCCAAAAGGGGACAAAGGTTAGACTCCATTGCCTCTATCATTTTCAATCAACACAGTAGTGCTGGAATACATTAAACAGCAATCTATAGCTTTTTAATCTAAGAATTAATACAGAGAATAAATCTTTTCTTCACAAAATGTTTTTCATCTAAGGATCAAAAGTCCCAGCTATTTCCAGTAGCAGCATCTGTTGCTTTACCAGTTTCCACAGAGATGAGCTCGTGTTAGTTTTCATCACATTTGTTCAAGTCTGGAATCTGGTTAAAGTACGCAAACAGTCCCATTGCCAGTTAAGATCGCATTCATATAGTGCCCTGTGAATAATGCTGTTCACCTACCTGCATTTGTTTTGATTCAAATGACATTTGTAACTATGAATCTAAGCATGGATTATTTAAAAATGATTTAGAGTAAGAAGCATAAGATAAAGAACTCCACAAGGAAGAGTACTATGATATGCACAAGTCCTTAGGAAACAGTATTTATTTCCTTTAAATCTTTTCAATTGTATTTTATTTTTTTCAACATCATTTTGGGAAAACGTTTGTGAAAAGAAGTCTGTCAAATATATGTCTGACCTGCAGATTGACCATCATAGGCATTTTTCTTTTATCCAGCTTACAGTGGCTTAATATTAGTATCTGTATGCTGACTGTACATTAATATCTTGAGTTGAAACCAGATTTAAAAACTATAATCTTGAACATAAAAATACTGATTCAAAGAGACACCTGCAATGTTTATAGCATCATTATCAACAAAAGCCAAATTATGGAAAAAGATCAAATGTCCATAGACTGATGAGTGGATAAAGAAGCAGTGGTATGTGTGTGTGTGTGTGTGTATACATATATATATGTATATATATATGTATACACACAATGGAATATTATCCAGCCATTAAAAAGAACAAAATCTTGCCATTTGCAATGATGTGGATAGAGTTAGGATTACACTAGGTGAAATAAGTAGTCAGAGAAAGACAAATACCGTAAGATTTCCCTTATGTGTCAAATTTAAGAAATGAAACAGATGAACAAACATGAAAGAAAAAAGAGAGGCAAACTATAAAACAGACTTTTAAATATAGAGGAACAAACTGGGAATTACTGGAGGGGAGGCAGGCAGAGGATGACTTAAATGGGTGATGGGTTCATTAAGGAGGGCTCTTGTGGGGCACCTGGTGGCTCAGGGGTTGAGTGTCCGCCTTCAGTCCAGGGCCTGATCCTGGAGACCTGGGGTTAAGTCCCACGTCGGGCTCCCCGCAGGGAGCCTGCTTCTCCCTCTGCCTGCGCCTCTGCCTCTCTCTCTCTGTGTGTCTCTCATGAATTAGTAAATAAATAAATAAATCTTTAAGGAAGGCGCTTGTGATGAGCACGGAGTACATAAGTGATAAATCACAAAATTCTACTACTGAAACTAACATTACATTATATGTTAGCTAACTGGGATTTTTTTCTAAATTTTTTTAAATTTTTATTTATTTATGATAGTCACAGAGAGAGAGAGAGAGAGGCAGAGACACAGGCAGAGGGAGAAGCAGGCTCCATGCACCGGGATCCCGATGTGGGACTCGATCCCGGGTCTCCAGGATCGCGCCCTGGGCCAAAGGCAGGCGCCAAAACGCTGTGCCACCCAGGGATCCCCTAACTGGGATTTAAATAAATATTTTAAAAAGAAAAATAATCTTAGGGGCTCCTGGGTGGCTCAGGCAGTTAAGGATCTGCCTTTAGCTCGGGTCATGATCCTAGAGTCCTAGGATGGAGCCCCCTAGCTGGCTCCTTTGCTCATTGGGGACCCTGCTTCTCCCTCTCCCTCTGTTCTCTCTCTCTCTCTCTCTCTCCCAAATAAACAAACAAATAAACAAATAAATATTAAAAAAAAACTGAGTTGCTGAGTTGGAAATGTTTGTATTTGTGTACCTACATCCTTTTTTTAAAGATTTTATTTATTTATTCATGAGAGACACAGAGAGAGTTCATTTGATAGGTTGTTTAGAATTGGGTTCCTAACTAAAATAATAGAGACATGGCAAAGTAGAAAGAGCAACAACCAAACCCCCAGAAGTGGGAGTAACACTGTATTTTCTCTACAGCTTCCTAGATCTGTGCCCAGGGAAGGTCAAGAGTTAGTCATTTCTCTGAACACTATATTCCTTACCTTTAAATTGGACATAAGAATATTTTCTTGTTAGAATAATGCTTAGAATTAGAAATAATATGCAGAGAGCACCTAACCCAGTGCCTGAGATATGATAGGCATTTATCTTCTGCATAGTTATTTTAAAAACTCTGGGAAAAGATGGTATATGAGTGTAACATATGACTAATACTTAAAAGGCAAGATTTTGGAAAGATTTAGGGAAGAAATTATCTTCAACATGGCTTTTCAAGTATGCACTTATCCTAATTTCAGGTATCGTATGTGTGATCACTAGTCAGAGGGAAATCCCTTTATCCAGACTATTCCAGGGATAAACACAGTAGATATTATTTATAAACTGACAGAGGGAGAATAAAAATGTAAGCAGAAAGACTGTCATTATTTGGCTAAATTATGCTTATTTTTACAGAGGTGCATTTTTAAAACGTGTCTATCATTTTACACTTCAATAGGCTCTACTAGAAGTCTGATAGTACAAGTAGAAGAAAGTAGATTTTACAACTTACAGAAAATTACATCTTTGGACTAAAATAAGACTGAAATTTGATAATATGTTTTAAAAGTATTCATGTACTTCATGGTTCACATCTTAATATCAGAGGTTGATTTAATAGTAACACACTCTAAATATATGATTTCTGAAGACAGTATGGTTGAGTAAATAAGAGTAGCATGAGGTAAATGATATCCAAGTAACATAATGTGTAGTAGCAAAATTTTAGCTCTCATATCCAGCATCCAGTTTCAGAGGTTCCTATAGCAGGAACAAAATTGGTAACATCTCAGATTACTGATTGTAGCATAGATTTCTAAGACTTGAGCAAAAGTTCATCAAGCCTTAAGGGTCCAGAAGAATGGAACCACCACAGTGACCTTCCATTATCTGATATAAAAATATTTTCAACTTTTTTTCATTAAGCAAATACTGGGGATTGTTATATTTACTCAACTTTGTTAGGACATTAATACGACACACTTTACACTTTTGTACATGTTACTTGATTTCATGCTCAGAGCAGTCCTGTGATGCAGGTATTTCATTGCTTTACAGAAGAGGAGTTATACTCAGTTAAGTATCTTTCTTACGTTTGGATGCGAAATCAGGTTTGCTTCATATATCACATGGCTTCATGAGCAAAATCACAATGATTTTGTGATTTCTCCACTTCTAGAGACATACATGTTCTGAAATTGGTCTATTCCATTTTTACTTTAGTTTTTGGATAAAAAGCAAGTAATTATGCCTTGATGTACTGCCCTCCAAACGTGTGCAGTGAAAGTCACCCGTGTTTTTCATTAGGAGAAAGTATATGCATGACAACGATTAACCTTTAACATATTCTTTTATTCCATGTACTTAGATAAACAGTTCAAAGCTTAAATAAGAAAGCAAAATGAATTTCTTAGGTCAAACTGACTGTACATATATCCTTCTCCTATGCATGATTTATCAAAGATTTTCTTTTTGCTTGTAGGGATGACTTGTCAAGCTCGAACATCTTACACTGAAGATGAAGTTCTTTGGGGTCATCGTTTTTTTCCTGTTATCTCCTTAGAAGAAGGGTTCTTTAAAGTTGATTACTCCCAATTCCACGCGACGTTTGAAGTCCCCACCCCACCCTATAGTGTGAAAGAACAGGAGGAGATGCTTCTTATGTCGTCCCCTTTAATAGCACCAGCCATAACTAACAGCAAAGAAAGACATAATTCTGTGGAGTGCTTAGATGGACTGGATGACATTACAACAAAACTTCCATCTAAGCTGCAGAAAATTACTGGAAGAGAAGACTTTCCCAAAAAACTCTTGAGGATGAGCTCTACGACTTCAGAAAAAGCCTACAGCTTGGGAGATTTGCCCATGAAACTTCAACGAATAAGTTCGGTTCCAGGCAACTCAGAGGAAAAACTGGTGTCTAAAACCACCAAGATGTTGTCTGACCCCATGAGCCAGTCAGTGGCTGATTTGCCACCAAAGCTTCAAAAGATGGCTGGAGGAGCAGCCAGGATGGAAGGGAATCTCCCAGCCAAACTACGAAAAATGAACTCTGATCGATTCACATAACAAAACACCCCCGTAGGCATTATTTACTGTTTGAATTAGTAATAGTCCAATATTTGGCTGATGAGGTAATCCTCGAAGGAATCTGAAAGGTACATTTTTCTCCCCAGTCACATATGCATATTTGAGAACCCTTTCTTCCCAAGTATTGCCACTGTGCAGAAAGCAAAGTTGTGTAAAGGGAGGACATCGTAAGAAAGTTCTTATTAACGGGCATGTATTATCACATCAAGCATGCAATAATGTGCAAATTTTGCATTTAGTTTTATGGCATGATTTATATATGGTATATTTATATTGTATATTCTGGAAAAAAATATATATATATATTTAAAGAGGTGGTACTCTTCACGACATTTCTAACATATGTATTAAGCCAAACATGAGTGGATAGCTTTCAGGGCGATAAAAACTATATATGTGTGTGTGTGTGTGTGTGTATATGTATACACACACACACACATACATATATATCTGATAAAATTGTGATGTTTTGTTCAAAGTTGTAGTTCTTGTGCATGTTTACTTTATTAGGCTAGGAAGGCTTCTGGCATTAATTATTAATACCAAATATTTTAGCCTTAAATTATTTGTCATTTTAAAATTTGATTTAATGTTTTCTGCTGTTTAAGGTCCTGGGAAGTTATCAATTGTACTTTATATGAGGGAGTCACTTGAGTCTATGCTACTTATGGCCCTACATAAATATAACCATCATGTATTTAACTTGTAAATTGTAGAGCATACCAATATGCTAAAAATTTCTTACAATTTTTAAAAGTTGCTAGTACTAGGTGAAAATTAGTTAATTTGAGAATTGGTCCTTTTCTGGACAACTTGAAGCCTGGAAATCTGTTTTGTATATGATCTAATACAAACATGAGCTCTGAACAAATGCTGAATCATTGTAGCCATTAGTAGCCAACTTACTTTGAATATATCAGAATCTGCTTGAAATTACATGATTAATGGTTCCTGTTTCAAACAGTCAGTTGGTAGCATTTCCACCCTTTTTCTGGAATTTCTGTCATTTTAAAAACCAATAATTTATTCTTGAGGAGATACAACAATACAATGAAACAGATGATAAATATTTATGCTTAAAATACGTATGTCTAAATGAGTCTCTTTTTTAATGCTGTTCTCTTGTTTGTAGCACTTATTGTATCAGGACAGACTTTTTTCTGCACCTGGGGAAACTATCCCACCCATGCCTGTCACTCTGTTCAGGAAGAATGTTATGTATATACCCGAGAGAATTTTAAATTAGATGAATTGAAGATATTTTACCCATGTGGGCTTGTTTGTTTGTTTGTTTGGTAACCATGATTTTATTGGTGTCCTGGATCCCTGGCCTACCAAAGTAATTTTAGCAGTACTATTTTTCTAACCCCGAGGTCTGATATTTATTACTCATTAGTGGAAATAAAAACTATTGCTCAGAAGAACACCTATGAAATAGAGATCTGGAATGCAGAGACTTTTATGAAATTTTTTAAGTGTTCCTTATCAAAATACCATGGATTTTCCTATAAAATTTCTTTGGGCATTGCACTGTAAGTCTGTTCAGAATTAAGCTATTTCCCCTTGTTAATATCAAAATCCTTACTTATCCTTAATGACTGGTTTGGGCTCTCATCATTTCCCATTTTTTAGCAATCCTGTGATGATTTTCTTATTGGAAAATAATTACATCAACAATTCTGTCATTAACTACAATAATACCGTCTGGCTACCTCTGTATCAACCAAATTCTGTAGGTGCAAACATATCCCAGGGAATTGTTACTGGCAAAATGATCAACCTTGAGCATTCGTCCACTGTGAATAGAGTTAGCTGCTCTACCCCTTGATCCCATGGCTGGTTATAGGAAATGAAATAGTAACGGAGAGAGAAAGGGGTCCAAGGGGCATGAGATATTTCTTATCAGTGGAAGAAACTCCATAGATCATTTAGTCCAAACACTTAAAACTAAATAGAGCCATAATTTAATTTGGAGAGTCATTCTAATTTGTCTTTGGTACCAAGGAGACTATGGGACCAAAGACAAACTCTCCGAATGTATTCACTCATTCATTCAACAAAAATTTTTGCATGCCTTTCATGTCCTAGGTAGTTTTAGCTCCTGGAAATTTGGCTACAACTAAGTTAGAGGAGGTCGCTGCCCATTTGAACATTGCATATTGGTAGGAGAGTGGAGAGGTGCCCTGTGGGGACAGAACACAAATGAGATGATTTCAGATACTCAAAATATCAGTTTAAGGTGAAGAAAACAGGACAGCAAAATGGAAAAATGACTGGGTGGAATAAGAATGGACTATTTTAGAAGAGGTGACTGGCTTAGGGAGGGAGTGATACATGAACAGAGGTCTGAATAATGAGAAAGAAACACTATTGCCAAAATTAATTTTTCTTAATGATGCTATTCCTTTATCTTTTCCACATATTTATGGGAAAGGTATGATTTCTGCATGTAATTGCAGGTTAGCCCGTATTGCTAAGTTGATCAGAGGTCCCAGTTTACCCAGGGGAGTTCCAGTTTATACCTGTCGTACCTGTGTAATTAATAATAGCACTCCCTTCACTCTTAGAATGTCCTGGTTTGGATGATACATTATATGGTGACTCTATGTTTTTGTTGAAACTAAATTATGAAGTCTGATATATTTGGATAAAAATAAAGAATTGCTTTTTCTTCTCTTTTTGCTGATTTTTTTTTGACACTGATCATTCCAAGAAAGATCATCTCCGTTTCATATATTTCAGCCTGCAGGACTTCTTATCAAAGTGATTTCATGTAACATTTGTTCAGTCTGTATATGACATGTTTTCTCAGCAGTGAAAAGTTATGCATTTTATTGACTGAATAAAACATAAACCTCTGGTATTTCCATTTCAGGAAGTTATAAGAGCTCAAATCAAAGAGAATAAAAGTCCACTGAAGTCAGGATAATTGTCAGCCCACCAATGTGGTGACTGTTGGAAAGCAAAATGTAATGTTGTTCACTGAACTGAAAAATTCTACTTAACAACTAGAAACTAGTCCCTTTCATGGTATAGCTCCTGTCATGGTAACATATTTCATTCTATTTATCAAAATGATGTGAATAAAAGAGATATGATTATTTTGATAATGCCTATCTTCAATTGAAATATTCATTCTTCTCAGCAATATGTGAATACAGTTTTGTAAATATATGCAAATTAAAAATAAGGATATTTTATCATTAGTTACTTCTGAAAAATTCTTATGTGGTTTTAAATTCATCTATATATAGCTTTAAATACTAAGAAATGTATTTAGTTGTCTCAGTACTGAAGAGCCTATTTGTCTAGAGAGGATGGGGCAATAATGAATTACTTCTGTTGGGGAGAGAATGCGATTATGGAGAGGGTGGCTTATAGTCTACCTGTATTATGAAAAATTTTTACAATTCCATACTATAAAGAGAATTGAGCTTGACAAAGCACCTCTGTGGGCACTACTTCAGAATTTGTGCTTAAATTACATTGTACATTGTAGTCTATTCAAGTTAGATTCAAGCTAATTGCATTTTCTGGCATGCAATTAATAATTATTTAAATGTGCAAGGTCATTTAGATTACAAAACTATAAATTCATGTATTCAGTACTGCAAGTTCAGTTTTATAAAAAGTATATTAAACTTTCAAAACATGATTGGGTTTAATTTTTACAGTGTGTTCATCATTTCTCCTCTTTCCAACAGTGAATGCCTCTTAGTCCTTGATTCAGTTTATCAGGAGACAATGATTCAATGCATCATAACTCATTCCTTGAGGGTTACTTTTATTTTTGTTCTTTATTGGTGAGATGCCTCAGTAATATGGAACCTGCTTGTAATAATACAGACTATTTCGGACCTGCTTTTCTTAAAGGAATCTTCATGATCATCCTGTCCTTCACCGAATCGGTATTTCAAAAGCCAAAATAAGTCAAGTAGAAAAATGCATAGTTTTCCCAAATTTGTTTAAATATCAAATCACCTTTAAAAAAAAGTGGTGAGTCAGTTTTCCTGAAAATGTTTCTTAAGGAAAACGTGTTCCTAATTTGAGATCAGATGAGTTCTGTGATAGGTAATGTGTCCCAACTCCCCTGGCACCTTCTAGAATCGATTTGAAAAGCCAAGTTCCTGAAGTTTATGGCCCTAGTGGAGTTCAAATAATGTGTTCCTCGTCATTCAGTAAGTAGAATTTTTTTTCTCTCCCAAGTCTGATTTTTTTACCTGAAAAAAATTTGCTTTGCAATCATGGCTATTTCAGAGTATTTGGGCTGCACATGATCAGTGGATGCTATAAACAGCAAATACGGTAAGGCCCATTAGCTCCTTGCTGCTTATTAGGAATCACATCCTTAGCTCCTGGTTATTGTTTCCCAGCTCCCATGTCAATCACTGGCGTGGTGATTAACACACATCATTTGAGTCTTTACAATAATTCTGCATGACAGAAATTATCCCCATTTTACACTTGAAGAAACTGATTCTCAGAGAGGCTGTTGAGCCAGTTTTAGTTAAATTAAATCCCCAAACACAGTAGTCCCTGCTCTCTGGGTGGTTCTCTTGTTATTTATATGCAAATCTAAGCATTCTTCTAATCTTGCTTCTTGATTTTCCATTGGGGGTTGGGGAGCATTATCTATTTGCTTTTTACTGTGGTACATAAAGATCTAGTTCAATTTCAACTCCTGTTACCCAGGATACCTCCACCACATCTGCCCTACACTAAGTTTCCAATATTGTTATATTTTTAATTAGATTAATTATCAGTGTTTTCATTAGTGCTATCACAATTGACCCTACGTGTTTTGATCATTTTTCTCACGTTTCACAGCATTTTTCCCATAGAGTTAATAACTGTCTTGTTTTTTCTTTGCCTATTTATATGTATACTTACCATTAATTCAGCCCAGTGTCATAAACACTTTTCTATTAATTCATCAAACACATTAATATTTGAACAGTTTTATCTTCCTGAGGAAATCTCTCCCCAAAGCATTCTGACCTGCTCAATTGTGTAAATTTAATTCTACTCTATAGCTGTTTTTTTGGGATCTCCTTTTGTCATCATCCTGGAGGATTCCATTCGTCACATTCCCTGTTTCATGGAACATATGCTTTCATCTTTCTCGGTTTATTCTTTTTAGAGCAGCACATTTTCTAGGAGTTTCTGAGAAAGAAAATATAGCAATAAATGTTTTGAGTCTTTAATATCTTGAAATTAATATTTTCCTCATTATTAATATTTATAGTTTGGCCTAGTGTAGAAATTACTTTGCTTCTGAATTTCAGTGACATTGGTTTTTTTGTTTTCTATTTGCCAATGTGGCTATTAAGGTGTCTGATGCCATTCTGAGTTTTAATCCCTCGTGTGAAGCATTTCTCTCTTTCATGGTTTTAGAATATTCTAGTTTTCCACTGTGTTCTAAAATTTCAAGATGATCCACCTAATTATGAGCCCATTTTAGTCCATTTTGCAATATCCTTTCAATCTGGAAACTCATAGCCTTAAGTTGTTTCTTTATTTACACCCCTCTATTTTCCTCTCTTCTGTCTTTCTAGGATTTTTCTTATATGGATGCTAGACCTCTTGGAATTACATTCTAATAGACTCATCGTTCCTTATTTGTTAACTCTGTACTCTTTTGAAGGTTTTCTCAATTTCATTTCTGTACTCTTTTGAAGGTTTTCTTAATTTTTATCATCTATCAGCATTTAAGTCCATTTATTTGATTTCATTTATCTTCCAAGATTTTCATTTATTGGATAATATTTTAATTTTTGAGATTTTTTTTAAAAAGTTGGTTCTCTACATGTTCCTTTGCTATTTTTTAGAAGTTTTTGTCCTTGTATCATGGATAGAGGGAGGATCTTAGGACTTTCAAATATTGATGATAGTGTATTTTAAATATTTCTTCTGTTTACATTTTGTTTCTAGTATTTTTTAATATATGTGTTTTTAGCCTATTTTCCAGTGGGCCAATTACAAAGATGATTGAGGCTCTGAGAAAATATATAGGGTAAGTCCAACCACATCTTCGCTGTTGAGGGACAAGGTTGTACTATGTACCTGAAGTCAGTATCTTTGGGCTGCTTCTTTAAGGTCAGTAACATTGCCCTGATAAGACTCTCTTAATCACCTTTTTCAGAGGTGGTACCTGGTGACCAATGTTCCGAGAACCAAGTGAGCTCAGGGATAAAGACTATCTTTATCCCTGGGTTTCAGAACAGCATCCTCATCCTCAGTTGTGTGTAGGGTCCTGAATTCTAAATAATGTCTTGCCCTTAACCAAAAATAAGTCTTTAGGATGCCAAAGGGGCAATCAACAAGTTGACTTGATTAGAACAAAGGAAAGTGTGCCTTTTTCTGACATCTTTGCTCTGTTATGCCTTTAAAATCCCCTAAAAGCCTTCTGTTTGAGTGTTTCAGGAAGCATCAGAGATTAATACTTGTATTTGATCTGCCACTTTGAGAAGAAACCCTAGTTAACCATATTAGTTTTCTGCCACTGTTATGATAAATTACCACAAGTTTAATGTAAATCATAGAAATTTATTATCCTACAGACTGTAGATAGAGACCTGGCATGGGTCTTGCCAGACTAAAATCAGTATACCCCTAAGGATGCAGTGCTTTGCATTTCTTTCTAATGGCTCTGGAAGAGAATTCATTTCCTTGATCTGTCCTGTTTTCAGAGGCCACCCACAGTCTTGGCTGGTTTCCCTCTCCTTCCATCATTAAAATCAGAAAAACTGAATGTCTCTGTGCCTTTCCTGCTGGACACACCTTGTTCCGACTCTTCCACCTTGCTCTTATACTTTTAAAGACCGTTGTAATTACATTGGGCCCACCTAGAAAATTCAAAATAAGCTTCCCATCTCAAGGTCCTTAATTTAATCGCAAATGTCAGTCCCTTTTGCCAAGTAAATTAACGTAATTCATAGGTTCCAGAGATTAGGGTGTGGAGTTGAGGGGCCATTATTCTGACCACCTTACTACCCTTTCTTATTTATACCTTTTCTTATTTATCCTCTTTTATGTAAAGAGAATATAATTTGAACAAAAATATTTTCCTCTCCAAATCTAAATATATTTTTATGTAGAGTTAAAAACAAGGGCAGACATTTATTTTCATTAATGACATCCTTCCATGTGAGGAAACATATTTAACAAGACATTATTTAATTATTCCCTTAGGAATCTATTTTTGTCATAGTTTGTGAGCAAATGTCTGACCAGGTTTTATTTTACAGTTCTTCATAGAGGAGAAAAAAACCAAACAAAACAAAATAAAACAAAAGTAAAACTGTGTCATGAAATAGATTGAAATTAACATCCATAACTTAAATGTCCTGAATCTAAGCTTGTATGTCAAATTCGCCGTTTTCTTGGCTGGCCACCCCACCCTTTGATCCACAAACAATATTAAGATGGATTTAAATTTCACTAGATCAACTAAAAGCTGGTGTCAGTATTTGTTGATAGATAAATATTATTGTGCCACATAGACCCTTAAAATGTCAGAAGGCTTATAACCTAGAAATTAATTTTAGAAATAAATGCCCTGTATTTTAACCAAATGATCAATGAACTGCATGCAGAGACCGTGGGTGGGCCCTTGGGAGATGACACTTTGATCAAGTTTTAAATTTTAGTGGCTAACCAAATGAGAAGGGCAAAATGGAAAATGTCACTTAGATGCAGATTTATTTTTGTAAATGAAAGAAGATAGCATGTCCTCTACCCTATATCCATTGTGAAGATTTATGGCTTCCTCTCTTACCAAATATTCCTAAATAAATAAATGTTATTTTATTATCCACTTTTATCTCCTCTCCCTCTTCACTACAAAAGTGACTTCTCAGCTTTATAAAGCAAGCTATATTAAAGGGAAATTGTGTATAGAATGAGACAATTAATTATATTATAGAGTTGTATTTTTGTAACCCTATATGAGTGTGACTCTACTGGCTCTCTATTTCCCTACATATAAAATTTGTGGTATGATAATATGTTACATTACACGCTAGATTCATATTTCACATTATCCACACCTTTAACTAAAATATCTAGATTTGGATATGTGACTTGACTCTGTCATCCATCCAGTTTTTTGACTAATATAAGACTCACATTTAACACCAGGCATTTTTCATTCTCGATGACTTACAGAGTCAATATTCAGCCATTGTCTTCAGCCAAAACATTAAGTGCCAAATACTTGGTATATTGAGATTTGTACCATGGTAGGAATATGCAGTTTCTTTTAAAGAGTGAAGACTAATTATAAGCCCTAGTCTTGTTACTATCTGCATAAAGTAATTACTGATGACCAAATTGGAGGGAAAAAATTACTTCAGGAATTATGTATTATATATAGTCTTGAAGAGGGCAGTTTTCCCCATAGATGAGAATCTAAATGTTGGTTGCAGTTGAAATGGAGCACAAACTGTGAATGGCCAATATTCATATCAATAATTTATTCTGAACCACTAAGCTACTTTTTAGTCACGGGTTACATAATTTATTTGGTTTCTTTCCCTTC